CGACACTGATGTTTTATTAAGGTTAAGTGCCACTGCCCGGTATACCCGACACTGATGTTTTTTTTAAGGTCAAGTGCCATTGCCCGGTATATATTTGCCCGATACTCCAAACAGTGATGTTTCTTCTAATCTATCGTCAGTAAGTATTAAAATACAAAATAAATATATCAAATAAATATAATAATCTCAACGAATAAATTATTATTATAAAATTGGATATAACAAATATTTCGGACATTCACCAAAGCGACTATGTGATTGTTGACATACACCGGTGAGGGTCCGAATGTACAAGAATGTAATGAAATATTCGATCTTTCACCGACGTNAATAAATAAATACAAGAGAACACGAAGAAAGTAAAGAAAAACAATGAGTTTCATTTATTGCGCTTAAGCTGCAAATAAACAGAACTCATTAGAACTCATTCTGTTTTGCGGATATAATCGTGTGAGCTGAAGAAAAGATTCTATTTTTTTCCCCGGTTTTTTTAATAATTTTTTTTTTATATACATATATATTTATATAAACTATTGTTTGTTAGTTTTTTACTTATTCCCACCCCCCCTTTCTTTTTATATGTCTATAATTTTTCTTTGTTTTATTCTTCATTTTGAACCTTGAATTGATTTTTGAAGCCACTTAACTTTCAGAGAAAGAGCAGTAAAATCCTTTTTTTTTCTTCTTCATTTCAAAGGAAAAACTCAAACGAAAATGAACGGATTTTATCAGTAGCCATTAAACGTAAGAACCCATGTGGTAATGTATGTTTAGTATTACTTTTATAATGAATGCAGATATAATTTTACACACAAATTTAGCTTCTTTTAGTTTAAAATGTATGTAGCATGACACTATAATGTTTTGCTCTCCCTGCAGATTTCTTCTATTTTTAGGATTTATAAAATAAATAGTAGATACTACTTTGCAAGATAAAGGTGTATTAATTGCAATTTTAATTATGTCTACTGTTTATGAATTTAAAACCTGTTTTGTGTTAAGTANTTCTTGCTCTCCCTGCAGATTTCTTATATTTTTAGGATTTATAAAATAAATAGTAGATACTACTTTGCAAGATAAAGGTGTATTAATTGCAATTTTAATTATGTCTACTGTTTGTGAATTTAAAACCTGTTTTGTGTTAAGTATTTCAAAAGGTGACTTTCTATTTAACGAATTTTCTATGTAACAAACTTATCATCGAGATTTAGCGACTTCGTTAAATCGTGTGTATTTACATAAACGTATAGATTTCGGCACACGCTATTCATCGCGATTTAACACAGCTGCATTGTTGAAAAAGGAATTTTTTAAGATTGGATCATCTACTTAACATTCAGTCATTTACAGATTGTTGCGTAAATAATAAAATTCTAAATGGGAGTTTAAAGGACCTAAATGAGAGAGGAAGTTTGTACGGTAGAGTTCTAGAATTTTTTTCCGTCGCTTTGGGGCCGTCACCCACCGACAGTTCAATCATTCTGTGGTCGCTTTAAAAAAAAAAAAAAATTTCTCTCCTATTAAAAATTCTATCCCTAATAATTGTTTTTTTTTGTGGAAACGTGCATTAACAAAAATAGCGATATGTTAAATGATTATGCCACAATTGTTCACACCCTTTTCATTTTATTTTTGCAGAAATATGCACGAACAGAATGTGCGTTAACTGAGTAATGGAAACCATAAGTATTTTTACATTTTAAATTTCTACCTATCACTTGTGAAAATACAATCCCTGGCCACATTATTAGACCCACTGTAAGATTCTGTGTAAAATTCTAATTATCAGGTAACAACTTTATTGTTTTTATGCGACTGTTTCCACTTGTTTTACGTCAGTCTATCAATGGGTTAACATTGTAACTTTATTGTTTTTATGCGACTGTTTCCACTTGCTTTACGTCAGTGTATCAGTGGGTTAACATTGTAACTTTATTGTTTTTATGCGACTGTTTCCACTTGCTTTACGTCAGTGTATTAATGGGTTAACATTGTAACTTTATTGTTTTTATGCGACTGTTTCCACTTGTTTTACGTCAGTCTATCAATGGGTTAACATTGTAACTTTAAAAACAAATACAAATAGGAAGTATATCAGTATATAAAAAATCTCATGAAAAAAAAAGACACATTGCATGTATGAACTATAAAAGTATTGCATGCAACCTCGTGCAAATCATGTCATTATTAAAACACTACAGGGCGTCTGAAAATTTGATCTCATTACTATAACATACTAATATAATGCTTGATATAATAAATATTCTATATTTATATAATATATCGTATAATTTATCCAAACGTCGAATTTATATTATATCGACTCTTTTAACTGATTTATACGTTAACGTAAACAAGTGCAAACTGGTTTCAGTCACATAAAAACAATGATAATGTGATAATAAAGATTTTACGTTAAATCTTATAATGAGTCTAATAATTTGACCAGGGATTGCATGCGCTGATAGAAATAAAGTTACGTAAAATGACAGGGATTCACACTTGTTTCCCCAATTTAAATTTCTATTTATTTCTAATTAGTTTTTATTTGTTTATTAATGTAGTAAATGTATTGAACAGAAGTACGTGAATCGAGTCTCAAACTGTGTCACGTTTATTAAATTTCTGCTCAGCCTTTAATTAATTTTGTTGAAATAAGTATTAAGAGAGAAATATATTAAATCTATGGGTAAATTACTTCCGTGGTTTTTTTATTTATTCATTTGTTTTTCCACATAGAGAGGATACAGACCCTGAATACTGTGCTTCACGCATTGTTCAGATGGATTCATTTCTAATTTAATTTTCGCGCGAAATTGGGTGTTTCTAAAATATAATGATTGAAATGACATAAATGTTTCTAAATTTAATAATTGTTTATAAAATATAATTGTTTTGAAATTTAACATAGTTGTACATAGAAACATAGTTGTACATTTAACGTAGAAACATAGTTGTTTCCAAATAATTGTTTCTCTCTATAAAAATAACATAAATAACATAATAAAAATAAGTAAATATAATATATAAGTAACGTAATTCTGTTATAATAAAAATAACATAATTGTTTCTAAAATATGATTGTTGAAATAACATAACATACTCGGTACGTAACACATAAAATATCGAGTCTAATTATTATTATAATCATTATTAATATTTTTTTGTTCATTTTTTAAAAAAAAAGTTATATTAGTCTCACACTATCTATTATTAATCCATGTATGTTCAGGGATCTGTCCCGACATTTTGTGAAAGGTCCTGTTTTTGTAAAATAAATATTCATAATTTGTGAATATAAAATATGCGTTAATTCACATTCTTTCAACCAGGGTCCTGCTTTTGTAAATTTGTGCAAATAGGTTATTGCAACACTTGCTAAAAACCTTTTCAAGAAGTTTTTAAATTGTAAATAGATACAAGATTCTGCTCTGCAATTTCTGCTACTGAATTAGAGATGCAACGTACACATATTTGATATTTAGCCTATTTTATTTTTGGTATTAGCCTCAACACAAAATACGGACGAATAATGGAAACAAAATCACTCACATTTTTAATAATTTCAATTGACATATTTTAAATAACACAACGGTTAGGTTTAGGAAGCGAATAAACCCGGGAAGAGTTTAGTCGATTAACAAAACAATAATGAGGATAAAAAAATTTGTGAAGGGTCTGATTAAAAGATAAATTATTTTGTGAAGGGTCAGTTCTTATGAAAATATATTTTGTGAAATTTCTTCTAAACAGACCCCTGATGTTCAAAGCATTCTTAATTTAAGATTGTGTATCTCAACCTTTGCTTATGAGGAAATGGTTTATGCAAAAAATTATTAAATGTTTGTCTAAATTGACTATAAGATGGCTGTCATGCTGATTTTCCCTATAAAACTTTTTCTTTTAAGAAATAACAGTGAAAAATCCTCATTTTATTATTTAACAAAATTCACATAGAAATTTAATATTTAACAACAAATATATTCTTTAGTATTGTTTTTTCTTTAAATGTAACATTTAAGAAAGAAGTAACTTATTGGAAACTTAAATTCGTTTATCTGTTCAAAGAAGGAATTTAAATACCAATTCAGCCTAAATAAAACAAAGAGCTTTTTTTAATAATAAATTTAAAAAAAATTATGGCATTATTAGTAAATCTTCGGTGTTTGAGATGAATGACAAAGCTAAGGGTTTTATGTGCATGATAAAGAAAATATTTTAATATTTGGCATTAAAGAAATCTTAATACTTTATAAATTTAATTTGTTTGTTTTTTTAAATAATAAGTCACTAGAGGGGAAAAAATTACTATCAATAATTTAATATTCTTAAATTAGCAATTCATGTGTGACAATTGTAATAAAAATTGAAATCATTCGACAAAATATGTATAAAAAGTATATAATTTCTGGTATCACATCTGAATTTTGTTTATATTTAGTACAAATTAATAATATATTTTTTTACTAATATATTTTTTACTAACATATTTTTTTACTAATATATATTTTTGTTAACCTATTTTTTCACTGATATGTTTTTTAACTAATATATTTTTTAAACAGACAAAAATTTAATGAAAAACCGAACGTTAAATCTCATTAGCCTATGACGTCCCGCTTTAATATCAGTTTACAATATTTTTAAAAATTGTATTGGATTAATTTTACTAGATTTATACTGTTAAACAATACAGGGAGATTAAATTATTATTTTCAATGTGATTATTCGTTTTTTTAAATGATCAGTTTCAAAATGATTTAGAAGGTTTCCTTTTTAAATAAAAATTTATACCATCTTGATTTATGCTATTTAAATTTATTCTATTCTTATTTATTTTAATTAATTTATTTTATTTTATGTAATTTAAAATGAAAAACGTTTCATTTATTGCTGAAAGATAAAAATTTGCTTTTTATCATTTAATACTTGTTTTTGATATTTAATATTCAAAATAATAATAAACAAAAAAAAATGTTTAAGTATGCAATGTTACTTACCATTGGATATTAACTGGAAAGAACACGAAAATTATTTCCTTTGGGATTCTTGAACACTGATACGAATTTGCCGCCGAGTTGCCGACTTCGTCTTCTGCCTGAGAATTTTTTCATAACCACATTAAAAGCAATTTCCAAAAATAAATAAATTTGAAAGACTAATTCCAAAGTGTGTTGACGATATCTTATATTCAAACGTGTGAAAGCAAACTATTTCCTAAATTACGGTTAATTCGGAACAAAAAATAAAATAAAAAATTTCCCCTTCATCACCGAAATCGAACACAGACAGTCATCTTGGAAGTTTGGTTTCGTTTTACTCTCTGGACAAACTGAGTGAAGTTGAGTTAATGGTTGCTGACCTCATTTTTTAGTGACGAAATTATCAGTGGCCGCTAAGAACAGATGAAACAAAGAAAAGAGAGGCCTATTTCGCGCGTCGAGGAACCAATCGTAAGGAACCAAACGATATTCCTACCTGGCGCAGTTTAATGAATTGTTATTACCTATGACAATTCATGTTTTTCTTTTCATTTTTTTGTTAGCCTTTCTGAGATTCGTGTAATTTAATTTGTCAACCGATAATTTAACGCTGAATTATTACCAGTATTTTTGAAATGTATGGAATCAACTTCACTCGAAACCAAACGAAATTGATTGAGAGGTACAGAGAAGCCGTTTAATTGTCTTTATTTAATTTTAACAAATAAGCTAATAATCGATATGATAGTTTCAGAATTATGACCTTCAAACACATCAAAACATACTTCGCTTTCAGTTTTATTCTCTCAATAGTATTTTAATTATAAAAACTAGGAGGCTCCACCCCCTGCTCGCTAACGCTCGACAACTCCCGAGAATTGCTACGCAATCCTATATGGTTCACGCCGTGAACCATGGCTCGCTGCGCTCGCTCGCCAATGAACACAATGTTCTAGCACAAAGACATAATATATTATCATCAAAGACATAGTATTTTATCATCAAAGACATAGTATTGTACTTATGTAGAAGAATTCTACCAATGTTCTTATTGGCTTTTAAAAAAGTATATTAGCTATTTAGATTGTACATGGTGAAAAAAT